AAGCATAAAGTAATTGGGTTCTGCGGTTTGGTGTGCTTCAACGAGTTGCATTACCAAATTGAAATTGTGGTGAGACAAGGCAATGAATGGATACATATGGATATGGAACTTTTGGTTAAGAAATCTTAGAATGAAGTAAATCGTTTAAGTATGCAAAACATAACAAAGTATAGCTTGAAATATGGTGAAAAAATGTAGGAAAATGTATTATTTGAGGGGTACTTTGAAGGAAACTATTTAAATGGAATGTAAGCTGAAACTTATTATTTTTGAAGGATGAATAATATTTCTATACTATAATAATAATTCACAAAATATATTGTCTGAAATCCAAAAGACTTTTACATAAATATTATATAGCAGCCTTTTCGTTTTTTATTTTTTATAGGACAGGAATTGTTGTAGATTAAACTCGTTTCTTATTTGATTATTTGAATAAAGTAATTTCATTAAAAACAAAATAAATTATATTAATGACGCCAAATGAGATGAAAACAACATTAAAACGAATACAACAAACAACTATACGCATTTGAACAAAAATATACAATAAAAAATACAATACAATAATTAAAATAAAAAACAAAGGCATAATTTTCGAATATTCAACGAAGCAGTCTTCCGTTATTTTCTGATATATATATATATCTATATTAATAGAGTGTAATAAATATAAATTTATATACATATATATATATATATATATATATATATATATATATATATATAAATAATTATATTCTGCTGCTCATATTAATGTAATATAAACAGCTAAGTAGGTATGTAAATAATTTGCATACAAATAGCACCAACCGGCGTTCGCAACAAACACAAATGCCAAACAATCTAATTTGAATTTTAAATTTTGCTTAGGTGATAAATGTTGAAGAAGAGGGGCTCGCTCTGCCTATGGCCGGTGTTGTTGTTTCCCAATTCGAGTCGCCTCTGACGTGGACTAATTAAGTTGCGCATTTTTTTCAGATTTATTGCCGACCAGTTTGCCTCAACGATCCGTGGCGATACTTTCTCAAAAAATACTGTCAGACCTAGTAGACCTAGTAGACCCATCCATCAATGCGAATCCCTCTGGAACACAAACAACAAAAACAAATATCTCATCCACTTGAAGTGTATAGATTTTGGGGCACTCAATTCGCGACAGTTTGGCGCGCTTTCAGTAATCAATTAAACCTCTGCAAACTGAATTTTGCTTGAATATGCAAGAATTGTCTCTAGAGTATAACCCGGTCGATTTTATAGTTTACCCTTATCTTTTAAATAAGTGATTTGTAAAGTGTTCTTGACACTGGCCTGTGGCAAATTGTTGTTAAGCGTGTGATTAAGATGAATTTGCTTAAACTATAAATTAAAATTTGAAATGAGATGAGTTTGGTTAATTTATATATTAAAAGTTGGAATGATATGAAATGTTGTAAGTTACCCAATAAATGGACATTATTGATAACAAAACTATTTCTACTTTACTGAAAAAAAATTCCACAAAAAAATTGTAAAACGATTTGATTTTTTTTTGTGTGCTTGCGAATTAAAAGCTTTTGTCACACTTTTCTTGTTACTCAAATTTTTGCTTGTCAGCAGCTGAATTGTATACTATTTTATTATTATTATCATTATTTTTTTTTGCCTTTATTTAACTACTATTTGAACATAAATTTGATTAAAGCTGCCGCAAGCCAGCGCCAAGAATTTGGGTTATGTAAATACGCCAAGGGGAGTGTCGTCTTTGTTGTTTGAAGTAGTAGGAGGAGGAGGAGTAGGAGGTTGGCAATAAATGTGATAAGATTTGGCTTTGCTTATCAAAACTAAAAAACAAAAAACTTTCGCTTTCTCAATTGGGCGAGTAATGTTTTGGGTTGGCTTTGGATAGGAGGGCGGCGATGGTGCTCAGTGAGGGTAATTTGGGTGGCCGAACAATAACTGTTATTAGGCTGCCACACAAGTGGCACAGCTCCTTGGCATCAAATGATATGACCTGCCCATCATTATTTTACGCACTATGTTTTATGCTCTTCATAATTTGTTGATTATACGCCTCCGGGCCTTGTGAACTTGTGAATTGAGCGTGAGGCGAGCTAAAACGGAACTGCGATCATTAAAAGATACATTTCAGTTGTGTGTTGTGGCTGACGCGTCGCGACTGCTAGGTGTTACCTTATTTACAATCTACATACAACTTTTTCTCTTCTTTTTTCGACAGATATATATATATATATATATTTTTTTTTTAGCTATTTTTGGTTATTTGGTTTTTTACAACTTGGCACACATGTGTCGCTTGTCCCTAAATAGTTTTCTTTAGGCTTTATTTTTTGAGTTTTTGTTATTTGTTTTTTATTATGTTGTACCTTTATTGTTGTTGTTGTTGTTGCAGTTGCGGCCGCTGCGGCTGGGACCTTTTGATGCCCTTACAGAATATTTAACATAAATTCTACCAAACTGGCAGCTTAAACAACAACAAGAATGAAACTTTTGGCGTCGCTTGGCATACATTTTGGCCTGCTGCTGGGCCCGCGTTTTGGCATCTGTTGTTTTCCGTTGGGTGAAAGGCATAAAAAAGTCAAGCCGACTTGGTAAAGGGTTATGCATGTATTAAATGCCCATAAGGTTCTTGTTTACAAGCCAAGTGGCATTTTCTTACAACTCACAAAACAGTTCTAGAAAGATTCTCAAAAATCTCCAAATTCTCAAAGTTGCAAATCATTCTTAAAACATAATATTACATTCTTATTTGCGTTCCGTTAACTTAATTAATTTGGTTAAGTTTCTATACGTTTTTGTAATGTAGAAACAGTTATTTTGTAAGCCAAGAGCCGATCTGTGTTTTTTTCAGCTCTGGCTTCAAATATGTGTGTAACTTCGTTGGCATGCGAATGCCGTTTGTTTTTTGTTTTTTATTTTTGGACATCTTTTTCAGCAGTTGCAACTGTATGCGTTTTATGGGCGTTTTTAAACGCGCTCGCGTGGCTGCGACAAAATATTTGAATTTCGACGACTTTGGCATTGCATAAGTGGTGCGAGTGGTGCGAGCGGTGGGTGAGGAGTTGTTTGCATGTGTGCGTGTGAGTGTACTGATTATCTGCAGTGCAACGACGCAGCAACGGAAAGCAATTAACAAGTTGGTGCCTGAAATTTGGCCCAGACAGACAAAATAAATGGTTAGACGAACTTATGAGTTGTCTGTTATATATTTTAGCTTGCTGAAATTGCATTTTTGTTGTTTATTGTAATTAAAACGGAGATGCACTTAAACGTTGCATAAAAAATGCAGCTACCGTTTCTCGCTGCTGCTGCTGCTGCTGGCTGCTGGCTGCGTAGGCATCTGAACACGTGCCAAAAAGTCAGCCTACGACAACGCCACTCAGCCGCCCCCCCGTTGCACGCCCTGCGCCACTTCCTGATCGTGCACCTCATAGATACACTTGTCGCTGAGGCTGCTGCAGTTAGTGTGTGATTATTTTCAAATTCGACACAGTTTTATTTGCGAATTGTTTTTGTTGCCACATTTATTTTTAAACAATTCACCAGTCGCGCTGCCTCTTCAGTTTTTCCCTTGCATGGCTTCATTTTCAAATTTGTTTTCATTTTACTCTCTCTTTCTCTCTCTCTCTCTCTCTATCTCTGTATCTCTCTCGATCTCTTTCTCTTTTTGTGTTGGATTGAGGGAAAGTCAATTTCGATGTTTCGATATTTTCACCGAGTTTTTTGCATAACTGCCTAAGCAGCCCGGTCTCCCTTTTGGGAGAGTTTTATGTAACCCTCTCACCACTTGACGAGCCCATAGATACAATTGTATCTTTTCGAAGCGCTTGCTGCCTGTGTTCGCTGATAGGCGCTGCCAAAAATAAAATGTGCCACTTTGCCGACGTAGTCAGGCGTTCGCTTAATATAGCCGAACACTAATTAAATGTCAAAATTGCGCATAAAAGTGCTTAGACTGAAGAATTTATATACAATTCGACTAATCTCAAATGCTATCGTTGGAATTTTCAAAGCCAATTCGAATCAGCAATAACTTTTGAGTGTGAACAGAGCTGCCAGATACATACATTTAAAATGTCATATGACAGACAGTGGGGCAACATATGTATATATGTATATATAAATAAATATATGTATATAAGGCAGGTGGTAAAATAGCTGGAACATGAGTGCTAAAGATAAAGATAAATACAAAATAGATGGAAGTTGAAAAGTAAATGACACATTATTGGAAATTCAAAAAAATTACATGAGCAATGTGTGGAGATGATGATGCTCTACGACCTGTGAGAAAACTGAAAGAATTATTTTAAATATATTTTTTATATATGCAATTAATTTGTTAAGTAAATCGGAAAGTTCCGATATGTCTGCAACGAAGGGAATCCATCATTAATCCAAAATTAATATCTACTTACCTCTTTTTACAGCCTTGATACTGAGATATGATATTGTTGCAACCACGAACCTAAACAACCAGCAAACAGCAGCTGCGTTCCTTGATTAGAGGGCTTCAAGTACTTCTGATTTACTGCTCTGACATGACAAGGAAGTCAGTAGAGTTGATAAGATGCATTATCAGCGGGGAAGACGAAGATGAAGATGCACAACAGCAATACGAACAGCAACAGCAGAAGGACGGGCAAGCTATGAAATTGAAAAGTGTTGAACAAGTCTACGATATGATAACCTAATTTCTTGCCAGAAAGCGGCGAATTTTAACTGGAACACAAAGAACTCTTTCATAAAAGCGAATACAAGAAAATACACAAAAAAAAAACAACGAATCGAAAGTAAAGATTTGTTTTTGTTTTGTAACGGGGCGTACATATGTTTCAACGATATTTAAGGGCGTGTCGCACGCCCAGCAACAACTGACAAACTGAGGGGGCGGTGCCCAACAGCAACAGTGCAACAATAACAATTTTATAAACAAAAAGAAAAAAAGTAAAGCTGCAGCAAGCTGTACTTGAAAATAACAACAGCGCCAAGACTCTTGTGAAACTGCAGTTGTGATCTTACATGCGAAGAAACCTGCGATTGGATTGGAGGGCCCTGGCGCTGCTGGGCGCCCTCCTTTCGATTATCATAGCCTGGTCGGATGTGGTGTTTGCCATGCCAGAGCTAAGGACGACTTCGAACCAAGAGACAAACAATACAAATATGAATAATACTAGTTATATCAATAACAGTAGCATCAACAATAGCAATTATCAATTGCATACTAATAGTAATAGTTATATACAAAGTGATCATAGTCGTAATAGTCGTCTCGTAGTGCTGAAGAGTGAACATAGTATAGATCAAAATCAAAGTATTAGTGCTGAATTTAATATGCGAACGTTAAACACAATAATTCAACCAACTGCCATTAACACGAATACATCAACAATGACAACCACAACCACACCAACAACAACAACAACATCAACATCAACAACAACAACCCCAACACCCGTCGACAGCAGCAGCACAGCAACTATTGCAGATGAGCTTCAACAGTCAGATCCCTTGGGCTTTGTCTTCTCGGTGGCGCCGCGTGAACATTTAGCGATACTTTCACGCACTGAGCGCAGTATTAGACATCAGAATCAGCATCTGCATCATCAGCAATTGCATCACAGGCATCAGCAACAATCGCCTGTTGCTACTGCTACTGCTGGCAACAGCAACAGCAACAGTAACTATAACAATAACAACAGCAATTTCATTGGTTCGAAATCGAAAAGACTGAATAACTCTAGAAATAATCTACCCATAAATAGCAGTAACAACAACAATCCCAACATAAACAGCAGCAGCAGCAGCAGCAGCAGCAACAACAATAACAACAAGAACAACAATAATCCCAGCAGCTTGGATCGCAACGAACGTTCAACCAACCCCGTTACGGAAGAAAAGAAGAGAATTGTACAGATATATATTAAGAATCGCTTTCTACAACTGCTGCCAGATGGCACTGTAAATGGCACACAGGACGAGCAGAGTGATTACAGTGAGTACTTACTTTTGAATAATCCATAATATATCCATAATATATCACACAAATACTGCTAGCTGACTGGGTTAAGGGAGAGACAGAGTCGGATGGTCCATAAAATATGTTTTAGATTTCAAAATATATATATATATAAATAGCAAAAGCATGTTATTTGAAAGTTGTTGAATCGTTTTCAAAGGCAAATAAGTATTACTGAATGTATAGTGACGATACATTTATATCAGTATATAAAAACTATTTTAGACTTGAAAAATGTAGATTTCTCTTATTAAAGTAAACTGAAGATATATTTTGATCAGTAAAAAAACTCTTTTATGTTTCAAAATAAATGTAATCAAATAGCATAAGCATGTAATTTAAATGTTGTGGAATCGTTTTCAAAAGAAAATAAGTATTACTGAATGTATAGTGACGATACATTTATGTCAGTATAAAAACTATTTTAGAATTGAAAAATAAATATAAATTTTAAAGTTTTGAAATTGTTTTGGAGTATTACTTAAAATGAAAATGTCTTTTATATTTACTTTTTTAAATTGTTGTTTTAAATATTTATGTACAACATACAGAAATAGCTAATTCGGTATACATGCAGTCGATACATTTTCAAATGTAGTTCAAACTCGTTAGCTAAATTTAGTTTATGTTTACGAGTGTAACTTTGACCTTATGTGCAACGGGCTGTCTAGATGATCTTCAAAGCAGACGCCCCGTTGCTCAAAGATTCCCCCCTTCAAGCAGCTAAACCAAAATGTTGTTTAGGTTTTTTGTTCGACATAAACAAGCAAATAAAATAATGTGGATACGCAGTAATACTTAATATTTGAAATACCTGCAAACATACAAACATTTGTACACACATTCTCACATATATGCGTGCTACGCACACGCCCACTCACCCAGCAACGCCCACAAGTTGAAAGTTCTCATAAAAAAGATGATGTTGTATGTGTGTTTCAAACGCAAAAAGCTGCGTAAGATGCCTCAAGTTTTGAAAGGGGTGATGCAAAAAAAAAAAAAGAAAACACGAAAAAATACGGAGAAAAGTTGAAAAATTTACGAAAAAAATTTAACAAAACTATTTGTAGCAGAGCTGTTTATGTTGAGCATCATTAAGTCAGACACTTGATTTGGCAATCTGCTGTTGTGTCGGGCGCCCAAAAGAAAAATCTATTGTATTATTTGCCATATAAATTTATGCTGTGCTATAGGTGCCTGTGAGGCTTGTGAGTGTGAGTGAATTGTTGGCATAAATCTTGTTTTAATGTACTGAGCGACCTGATTAGCTGCCTACCCATGAGTCAGCGACCAAAACCGCCCATTTGCATAACCGGGCGGCATGTCTTTTAATTTTGGTTTTTTGTTTTTTGCCATCAACAATCGGCCTATCGCCACTTGTTGTCCAAATTAATTTACAGCTTTATTTTCATTGAGCTTATGTTGCTTTTTGGCTTCCTTTATACAGCGGCAATTTGCAAGACTGATAACAAAAGCAGCAGCCAAAAAAAAAAGCAACAAAAAAATCGAAAACTTGTTGTACAAGTGGCAACAAGCATTGCGTCCGGTTTGCGCGCGTTTTATTATCGCGCGCAAGCATCGTCATTGAGACATCAGCCACACCGATGCCACATTGATAGTGTAGATGTGGTGTGTATGCATGTTGTTGCTGTTGTTGTTGTTGTTGTTGTGTACTGATACACAATTTATGTTGTTGTTGTTTGGCTGCAGTTTGGGTGTTAATTTGATTTCATGCGCATGCTTCAAGCGCGATAATACGATAAGATTTAGACCCAAAAGTGTTTTTCGGGCCAAAAAAAAGAGCTATTTTTTTTTTTTTGTGTAAGACGGCCGAAAATGATTTTTATGGTGCTGCAATTGCCCAATATTTAGATGGCAGCCAGCACCACTTAACCACTTTCTCATAGCAAATGCTGTATTTATTGCGTGAAGTTGGTGAGTTTTTTATGAGCTTTCATACTGAAATCACGCATTTTACGCACTCTTAACTTCTGTGGAGCTGTGAGTTTATCAGCAATTAGTACAACTGTTGGTTCTCTCGCCTCGATAAGACTGTCAACTACAGAAACCTACAATTTGGAAAGCCCGTCAAGTGCTTAGTGCCACATTTGCTGGCAACAAATTATAGAAAATTGTCGAAATTTTCACGAATTTTCCACAAGTTCAGCAAGCAGTTGACCTCTAAAAGTCAACTTCATTCAAGTTGCAGTGGCAACTGTGGGCTGTAGTTGATGCGACTAACGGTGACTGCCACACTGCCACAAAGAGCGCAGACCAGATCCTCCCGTAACCCTTTTGCAATGTGCTGGGGCGTGCATATTTTCATAATGATATATGAGAGTGGCAGTACCTGTACTTGGCGGATCCCGGCTATGACTGCAGCTGCGTCTGGGGGCAATTATGCGACTGATTTAGTGCGTGGTGCATGTTGCGAGGTGTGAAGTTAACTGAAGTTAACTGAAGTGGCCTCTGACTATATACATACGATGAAGCTGTTTTCTTTTGAGCAACGTAGATGCTAAAAGCTTCCGACAGACTTTTTTTGATAACTTAATTTACGGCACGTCTTCAGCGAGTTGATGAAGTTGTTGCTGTTGTTGTCAGACACTTGCATCGATTTGAGTTGTGGTCTTCAGTTACTTTCACTGTCACTCGCCTTTTGGCTTGTGTGTTAATTGCTTTTAGCTTATACCACTATAAGCCTATATGTACAACTCTTTTTGACATTTTTGATTTTATTTACTTTTTTTTTAAATCAAAGACACTGTTTTCAGGCAGTCCACCAAAATATTTGGCCCATAAGTGTCAAAGAGCAGCAGGCAACAAATGTTTGCTTTGTTCCCGTTCGATTACAATATTATTTTTATTTTTATAGCCCCAGAGCATAAGCATGTAAATTATAGCTCTAAGAACTTTCCAAAACTGCTGGACATCAAACAGATACACACACAAATACACATACACACGCACATTCCGGCGCAGACAAATTGCATAAACTGTGTGAATCCCTCCCCAGAGTATTATCATGATTAATATTGTAATCATTTGCTTAAGGGCTATTCAAGGGAATTTCAACACAACATCACCAACACAAAAGAAGGCAACGTAGTATGTTCAACAGAGCCTAAAAGCTATTATATCATTTTCAGCATATAATACAATAAATTAACTTACATGCGAGCTGCCACTTCACAAGATACTCATAAAAATGTATCTAGATATAACAAAACAGATTTGAAATTGCTCAAAGTGAACATTTTGAGCTATTACGTCACAAGATATATAAATATCTTCATTTGCATCTTAAATGAAAATTTGTAGCTGTTACATCATTATAAATATAAATATATATATATTTATATTTATATTTATATTTACGAATTTTGAGTAGCAAATATGAACGAAATTAATTTTTACAAATGAACTTCTTGCTCGAGTTAATAAATCTTATGAGACATTTTGTTGATAGCCCAGCGAATTATTCGATCAGTTTCTGTACAAACTATAATAAATTAAAATTTGTTCCAAAAATATTTCCCGTCCATGCGTCACCAGCTGTATCCAGATACATTAATAGTAAAGTTGCTTGAAAATGAAGCTCTTACGTTAGATATAGTTTCCAAATTTTTGGGATAGTCGAATGAGGTAGCTGGTAGCCACTGACACTGACGATTTACGTAGGTGGTGCTGATGCTGCACCACTTGATGTGCCATTGTCAGCTAGACGGCTCATCACATTGTCGCATCTTGTGTGAGTGTGATTTATGTAGGATAGGGACAGCATGGGACTGCTGTGAAAGTGTTTTGTTTTAGATAGATAAGATTATGTATAGTGTATAGTGACTGAAACTGAGAACGGACAACGCAATATGTCAAATGGATTTATATAGTTGGCGTTGGCGGTCGGTTTTTCGCGTTCCTCTGCGTGTCTGGCGCTCTGCAAAAGTTTTCCGGCAATGCTATTTTTAGTACTGGTGGCAATGAACTGAACGCTTTGAAATTGCTCAAGTGTTTTTTTGTTTTTTTTCTTCTTTTTTTATATTTTGCTTTTTGATTACGTAAAAGGTCTAGGCCATTAAAACGATCTGGCAAGACACAAGTCATGTAGTCACCCACAATATGAGGACCACTGACTTATTTTATGGCCGAGTGGGTTACTTTGAAGAAAAAGAAAAAAAAAAAAAAAACAAGTAACTTCATTGAAAAGAATGGTAAGTCATGCGCAAAGTTCGTATAAAATTTGTAAGCCTACCCGGCTGGATCGAAATATTTATGAAGCTGACCAGCCTATATAAATTATCTTGATTAATGATATTTTGCACGCAGTTGTTGCCAAGCTGCTGGCTGCTGTCTCTTGTGTTGTTGTTGTTGTTGTTTCGTTGTCGTTTTCGTTGTTTTACAAGCATTTTTACGAGCAATTCATTTTCACCCCAGTCCAAAAAACCAGCAGCCAGTCACATTTTGACCACTGCCCAGTGGCAAAAACATTGACACAGAAACCGAAACTACAAGAAAATCGAACAGCAACCACAACTACTGAAATCGAAAATTTATTGTATAAACATTAAATGCTGAACAGCACGCTAAATAAGTTTTTTAAACATAAATTGGAGCGAAGTCGGATTGGCCAATGCGGCGTATGCGCGATTTGTAATCGAAGATAATTTACCTGCTAGAAGTGCGAATTGATTTTATTAATTTTTATTAAGTGCAATTAGTTAGTTAGTAAAGAGGATAATATCTTTTAAGATTTATTTGTAAAATGCACAGTAGCATAAATAGAACTTCTAGATTAGCTGACAAGATAGCTTATCAGTGCTTTGATTATAATGTATTTTAATCCTCTTCTAACTCTTTTAAAATATTAATTATACCCTTCAATAAATATGTTTTGATCCGTTGCTGACTCTTTTGCGACATTTATTGACTGCCATAAAAAAGTTAAGCTATGAGCTGCCATAAAAAAGTTACTATTA